TTTAAGCGTTCTAATTTATTACCCCTATATAGCGCCATTTTGAATAGAGAAATCGAAAAACAAAAACCGATGTGCACGACTTCAATCCTTCTATTATCTATAATCAGTAGAATTTCTGCTCCAACTTTAGCCGTCTTTGAGCCTTTGTTTGTAAACGAAAGCCTATACATTTTCGTTTAGAGGGAAATAACTCAAAACCGGAAGTGACTTTTTGAAATTTTAGACAGCATTCTGATAGAATTTAGTAACTTCTAGTCCCTCTGAAAATTTTAGCGAAATCAATTGAGAAATGAGTGAGATATGAGGCTTCAAAGTTGGCGTCTAGGAAGTAGAAGAAAAAAAAGAATAATAATCTTTACCAACAGAATCAGTAGAATTAAAATGTTTGTATAAAAGCTGTTAACCACTATAACCTTTATTAAGAAATTTTAGTTTTTTAGGAACAGACAAGTCTTTTTTGAGAATTATTATCTTCCTTGTCAGTGAAGGAGAATCGAACATGGGCTTACAGATCATGAGAGAACGTTCTACCAGTAGGCCCAAAAAGTCTGTAACATAATGATTCGCCTTTCATAATTTAAAAAAACTGACGCACCGCCATTTCCAAGTCTATTAAAATTCCATATGAAAATGTAACTTTGAAAGGGTTAAAAGGAGTTTTCACTGACGTGCAAAATTATGTGTTTTATCAAATGATTGAAAAAGAAGCAAACAATGTACGAGAAAGTCTGTCGTAAAGCCAATAACGAATACTCTATTGTGTACTTATTTATTATTACTATGGTTTTTAAATTTTAGCGGCTACATTGCAGACAATGATGCCCTAATTTATAAATAAGTCTAAGAATGTATTAATGAATACAAAATATGTAGCGCTGATTTCTGATTACGCGAGTAACTCCAAATTGCACTAATGTATAAATATACGTCATTTTATGTACATATACAGTACATATCATCATTACACAAGACTAGGACGAGATACAGAAGTTATGTATAAACCTGTCTGATAATGCATTATATCGCTTTTGTTATGATGTCGTGTAACTTTACAAATAAACAAAGAATCGTGACAACAACGCAAGGTCAGGTATTTCATGCATCACTGCATAGTCGTAATAGCATATCCTTTTTCAGATGATGACAGAGATATACTTAGATTTTACAATTTTTTTTAATCTTTTATGGGTTTTTAATTCAGTTAAATCTAATGGTTACATAGCAGAGATATCATGTTTCCTTTTGTTAAGACCACATGATGACTGTTAATCATTATAAACATTGAATTGGCTGCATTACGGAAAGATTTTTTGCTTGAGGAAGAAATAATCGCGAAATTTCATTTTAAAGAATAGAAACAGGTAAGTATTAGATTTAATTGGCTTTTATCTGGGGTAAGGTTTCTTTTTCATTTTCAGCATCTATAGTCTAATATGTTGATGAAAAAAACTTCCAAATTCACTCTTTGTTCGCAGTATAGTTAAGGTGCGCAATGGACATATTTACAAAATTCTGTAATTAAAAGTGTATTCATAATTGGGATGTCAATTATTTTTAATACATTATTTATATTGGATAATTGTAATTATTTTTAATAACTTCATATTGAGGACGATTAGATTTCATATTCAGACTTGCCACCTGATTTAGTGGCCATGTGATTTTAGAACAGTTACTTGCAATATTGATGTTACCTATAAATTGCACTATTGCAAGGGCATAACAAAATTAAAATTCCAAGTTTAGCGTATAAACATTTTCAACACGCATTGTAGTTTCTGAAAAGTGCTGCGATCCCATCTAAATTCTGCAATATCATTTTAAAATTGTATTGTATTTGTATGACCAAATGCTGTATTTTTTTGCTGGCTAACAGCATGAAATATTGATATGAAAAAAAAAATTTCTTTTAAAGATTTCAGAAGGATCGCAGCACTATTCAGATACCTTAATACTTCTAGAGTTGAATTGTAAGAACTTACTATGATCCATTGAGTGTATGCCCTTGCACTTCATCGATTTATTAAGACCCCCACATTACCCATCGATGTGCTTGCACGCAAATATACGACAGTGTCAATTAAATACCTAATATACAGAAAATATATTAATAAAATCGTGAAGGAGACATGGAATACAAATTAATGGCCTATAGAATAAATGTACATAATTTTTATTTGATTATAGAATATTTTTTTCACGGGCTTCCTTAATTGTAATTTGTAAGATACCTACTTAATGTGAGCAGGTAATCAAAATAAAGATTTTGTAATATGAATTTTAATTATAAGCAAAAAAAAAAATCAAGATTCCTTCATCCTTGAATCATGTGCATTATACAAAGTTTCGCTCTAAAATTTTCCTGTTTTTTTTATTTTATCAGATTGTATAACTTACAGTAACCTACAACAAAACCTAACATGAGCTTGCAAGGATTCAGCACCCTGTGTAGAGTGCGTCATTGTTATCAGTGTCAGGGTGACACAGGATACTACTGTAACACGTATGATCAAGACCTTTGTCTACAGTGTAAAGAGAGACATGTTATTGATCTAGACAGCATATACCACGATGTTCTGATTTACCGTGAGAAAAATGACTACATTATAAAACAAGAGACTTGTGTGAGACATCCAGGCATGTTTTATCAAAAGTACTGTCTTTGATCTGTAAACTTCCTATATGTTTCCAATGTACAGAACACAGATATCACCAAATACTAGACATTAGAACAGCATACAAAACATACCGTCAAAAACACAGAGAAATCGTTCACAACATCAGAAGTGAGATCCTCTATAACAAGTGCTATGTCTTGGCAGGAATAAGATCTGATATAAAAGTAAAAAATGTCACGCGGAAATCTTCACCCATCAGTCAAAGATGTTAACAAAAGCCCAGAAACTAAGGAACCTCATAGGCACTGTCATGTGTGATGTCAAAATAAAACACAAAAGATTAATTCAAAGTTTCCAAAAGCAGAGGAGAATAATAAACAGACATCTTGCTAGCATAGAAAACTTTGAATACAGATCTGAACAGTTAGCAGACAGACCGCTAGAATTTATCATGTTACTAAAAAGAACTCGCACTGCATGAAAAGTCGGGTTTAATTTTACCTTAAATGCGATTTAAATGCTGCGATTATTTAATGTTTAAATGCATAATATAACATATTGTGGGATCGTAAATGTTAGAAAATAATTAGCATTTAATACGAGTTTAATGAAAAATTAAAAGAACAAATTTAATAAAGTTTGGAAAATTGTAAACTTACTAATACGTTCGGATTTAAGTCTGCCTTAAACAAATATTATACCTCTAATATACAAAACGTATAATTATTATTAAACATGGCCATAAAATTAAGTTTTATGGTCATATTAAATTTGTTCGTTTAATAAAATTTAACGTAGATCTTTACCTCATTATTTTTTGTTAAATTCACACTTTACTTTATAATACTTCCAAAAATTAAGTTATATACGGAAAATTGTAAACTTACTAATACGTTCAAATTTTAATCTTTCATAAACTAATATTAAATCTCTTGTATATGTGATGAAAATGTACGGATTAAACCTTCCCATATCATTAAGATTTAAGGTTGTATTTGATGAAATTTAATATTATTACATTATTGCATGATATTTTTATTTTATATTTATTCCATCAATAATTTGTATGGTTTACAATTGTGGGTTTTTTGGCAAGTATTTTACAATCATACACAAATCCACTTCTCATTCAATTTTATTAGATGTTATCTCAATAGTGTACAAACAATGAGTTCTAACAAAGTACAAGATATTTCAAATTTATGCCTAAAAGTCAGAATTTAAAAATTTACAATCATGATTGTAGCTCTATTATAATAGAGTAAATTTTTACATACTAGTACTAAGTAATATACTGAAGTAATTAAAAATAATTTAATATAAGAATAGAATTGTATGTAAAATTCAAATCCACAATAAATCAGAACACAATAGGTCAAAAATGTAGTCATTCTGGACTCCAAAATCTGACTGAAACTGCCCCTATTAAAACTGCTGCATGAGTTGTAAATAGCTTTTCAATTTCCCACAATATATTATATCATACTTTGCAGCAAAAGAATAAAAGTTGCCAATAAAAGTTGTCCATTCTTTTTACATGTACATTTAATAAGACACACTAAGCCACTGACAGAGAAGCCTCACTCGCCCACAAGCAACAGCAAAAGGATCGGTCAGAGACACCACCTTTCTCTTACTTGGGTATCAAGATCTGCAACTTACTGCCAGCAAACCTCTTTCAGACCACCCTTATATTGTTTCCCAAGTATTTCCACAATAGATGTCCATGCACTAATTATTCAAGTTCAACTTGTAAAATACTTAATGTTGACTGTGAAAAATACAACACCCAAAAAAATCTTTTATATCATTTGGTTATGTCAATTCAAATTAAGGAAAAAGTATCACAATTACACAAAACAATAGCAGCTTAAATTTGTTTACAATACATGTAGCTCATTTCTGCTCCAACTGCTAGGTTTATTGCTTGATGATTGTAATTTAACATATCCTCATTAAATCAACTTTACATTGGAATGCAAGACATTTCAATAGTGATATTTTTAACTTTGCCTTAAAATATCAAGAATGAGCTCTGAAACATGCACATATAAAAGTCCTGTATAAACATATGTACAAGTATATTTAACAATTTTTTTTAAGCCTTAATTACAATTCCATAACTCATAATTCATAAACTCTCTTACTTCAAATGGAAGGAAACAAATAAATATTTTACTCTTGCAATTCTCATTACTCTTGCAATATCAATTGTAATATTTATTAAAATCACAGTTCACCCCTCTTTTACTCAGAAATATCTCTACCTCATTTGCCTATTCTATTTTTTACATCTATGACTCACTAAGCCACTGACAGAGAAGCCTCACTCGCCCACAAGCAACAGCAAAAGGATCGGTCAGAGACACCACCTACCTCTTACTTGGGTATCAAGATCTGCAACTTACTGCCAGCAAAGCTCTTTCAGACTACCCTTGATTGTCTTATTTTTTCCCACAATAATATCAATGCACTTATTATTTAAGTTAGACTTGTACATATATGTAATATATAAATCAAGATTAAAATGTATGTGATTGCAGTTTACACAACAAACCAATAAATGTTTAAACAATAAAAAACTTAACAGTTTTAATCTGTAATCAAGTATCAGAAAAAACTTTCACTGTCAAAAATACAACACTAGGTATATTTTTCTTATCTAACATTGAATGTGTCGATTAAAGATAAGTAAAAAAAAGCATCACATTTGTGCAAAACGGTAGCAACTCAGATATTTCATCTCTAATAGCCCATCTCTGTTCAATTACTAAATCCATAGATTTGACTCTTTTAGATTCTTTATTTGTCTTAGTTCTTCTTATGCTCTGCCTTTTAGAGTGCTTTGATTTGAGAGTGGCACTTTTGGTGTCCTGTTCTTTGAAGACTTTATTTCTCACATTCATCAGAACGCAACTTCAGTTTTCTAATTTCATAGATAGTATTATCTTTAGAATCATTCTTTGTACTATGAAGACGTAATCAATATTTAAAACTGCTTCTTCTTGCTTTTTCTTCTCTTCATGCCAAGAAGTTTTCAGCTCTGGAGAAGCACATCTAGCTCCTAATTTCTACAACAAACATAAAAATAAATACCCATTTGCCTATATATACATATTATATGTGTGCTTCCTGATTTATACAATTGCATATATTAAATAGTTCACAAAATCTGAGTTGATTGTAAAATTATCAATTGACCTAGAGGAAATACAGCTCAATTTTGCTTAATTAAAAAAATTACAGAAGACCACAAAAGATATGCCATTTTTTCAAGTCTGGGTAATAAAGACAGATAATTATCTATAATTTCAGGCCAGCGAGCTACAGATTTTGAAGCTAATGTTGTTATACATGTAAATTGGGGACTAATGATTTTTTCGCCATCTTTTTTTTTAAGCATCTTACCACTATGATTACCTGCTTGACCTTGAACATGTTGAGGTGCCCTTTTCTCTGCTCCTCCACAATAATTCTTTCATTTAGCAGCAAGATACTAAGGATATGGTAAAAAGCTGTCACAAACAAAATATGAAAAATTAATAACAGGTATGGCTCTCCATAGAAAGAATATATAAAAAAGGAGAAAAAATATACAAACAGGGTATACTTATGACTAACATGACTAAAGCAAGAAGATAACATTTTACACAATGAAAAAAATTCTCTGTGTCATCTAGTTAAGTGAATTGCATAAAAAAACCATATAATTATATGTATAGATCAAATCTATAGACGACAAAATATGATATGAAACATACATAATGGTACCGTAGTCCGAGCACATGGAATTTGAAGATTTACAAAGTTTACGAAAATGCAAAGAATAGCATTTACAGCATTTAACATATTAAGACACACGTAAATATAGTTTCACAGCAGCAAGCTACAGATTTTGTGGAAGTACATGTAAATTGGGGACTGGTGACTTTTTGCCATCTTTTTTTTTTGAGCAATTTACCAATGTATTTACCTGCTTGACCTTGAATATGCTGAGATGTGCAGCCCTTTTCTTCGTGTTCCTCCACGATATTTTATTTAATGTAGCAGAAAGATACTATGGATAAAAAAAAATTATGAAAAATTAAAAGCAGGTATGTACGAAAGCCCAGAAGGCTCATTCGAGATTCGAGTTTCCAAATACGAGATTCGAAATTCGAGATTCAAAATTCGAAATTCGAGATTCAAAATTCGAGTTTCGAGATTCAAGATCCAAACGAACCAATCAAAAGCGGGTTCAACATTTGATTATTTCCCTTTATTATGTTTTTACTATCAAGAAATAGTTCAATATAATTATATCAAATGGGTCACTTGATTAAATTACAATGCAAGAAAAAGTGTTATATATATTAGAGGGAAATTTAAATAATTAATGGAATTTTGATCAGCAAAAAATATTTTTATTTATATTATAGATTCTTAAATATTAAATAGATTTCATATATCAGGGGCCCGTTTTACAAAGCTTACTTAGGACTAAGTTATATCTTAGGAAAGAATTTTTTCCTAAGTTCATTACTTATCCGTTTCACTAACCTCGTCTTATCTTAGGATATTCCTAAGTTATGTCGTAACTTTAGGACAGGTAAATCGATGACTTAGGAAGAAACTAAATATTGCGGCTGCATATCCAAGATTTCTTATTGAGAGAGAGAATGTGTTTGGGGAGAGAAAATCCAATGGACTACTAGTATATGAATGATTGTGTTCTCTCCAGGTTAAAACTGCTTTACTTTGCATGGAATTACTAGGATTTCAATAATAATTTTTAATGGCAAACGTGTCAAAATTAGTCCAAGGTATATAAAAATGCCATTTGAGCCACTGGAGCTGGCGAATTAGATGGTACACATGCTGGAATAATTCCCCATCATTTGAAGAGCACGCCTTTGTAAAAAAAAAAAATAGGCACATGATTTGATCCATTATTTTACATGCATGCATACATTATGTTTTTATCTACATTTATACATGTATATTTATTGTACCCCCGCTTGAACAGCGGGAGGGTATATAGTAATCGGTATGTCCGTCTTTACGTCCGTCCGTCCGTCCGTCTGTTACGCTTTGGGGGTACCCATCTCTTATCCGCAACTCCTCTCATACAACTGAATGATTTTTTTTAAATATATCTTTTACTAGTATTTTAATCGATATTAAATTAGAATTTGAAAAACACTTGAAAGAAGTACGTGATTCTTGATGAATCCCCAACCCGCAAGCTCCGGATATATATCAGTAGATGTTTCTCCTAAGAATGGTTGCATCTGATCTCCTTTAGGACGTAATTATTGAGGGGACACAAGCATAACACAGTTTTGTTTTCTATAGATATCAATACATCGTTAAAATTATTTTAACCCCCCCCCCCCCGTGCTCCTACAGTTCCTATGGCTATGAGATTACAACCAGTTTTCTTCTTCGCTTAATACAATGTATGAGATTTCAATAAATTTCCTTTTTTTAACTTCCTCTTTTAGTATTTTCATACAGTTCCTGTAATAGCGAATTTTGTGATTTTTTTTCCTAACATGGCATCCTTATTATATAATATATATAAATTGATATCTAAAATATTATGTGTGAGAAAGCTTTACCCAGCACAAACAACTAACGTGGAGTAGTCATTGGCAAACATTTTTTGTAAAAAAAACAAATGCCCACCTATTAGCTGCAATAATGTAGCCCTCTCCGATTTTTTATCTGATGTTTTTTGTGAAAAAAAGAGGGAGAGGGCTACATCATTGCAGCTACATGTACCCTCCTATGTGTTCGCTATGCGAAGCAATCATTTTTGAATTTCATTTAATAATTGAAGTAGAAAAGTATAGTAAAAAATACCTGGGATCGATACCTTATAAAGATCAAATAAAAAAAAAAGCAAAGGTACAACACGTAGAACAATGTTTAAAAAAATAAAAATATGTGCCCGGGAGGTTAGAGAGCTTGAAAGGGTTTGTATGTGAATGCTTAGTTCTAGCAGCAAACTTCGCTAAGTTAAAACTTCTGTCCAAGTCCTTTGAAAGTACGCGCAATTCCCAATCCTCCCGCCCCTCCCTTTTTGAAGCTAAAAATTTAAACCATACTGACATTCTGAGAGTTGTAGATAGAGCGGCGAAATTATTTCATTAGTCAATATAAAGGCACAACTTAACAAATGACTTAGGAAAAATTTAAGATAAGATTGTTTCGTGAAACAGCTGTGACAAATCTTAGGAACTTCCTAAGTTATAACTTAGGAATATCTTAAGTTATGTCTTACGGCATTTCTTAGGAAATGTTTGTGAAACAGGCCCCAGGAGTATATATATTTTTGAATTGTCTACTAAACTTAATTCTTATGCATTTCCTGTGTTAGGAAAACCACAGGTACTTGTGAACGGTACCCCCCCTCCCCCCTCGATATTCAACCCTAGGGCTTATTGGACACTTTTTTCACAAGTTTTATTTATTAAACTTATTCATCATGTATACAATAACAAAAAATTGTAAAATCCCCAGAATAATCGCTCAACACCCCCCCCCCCCCAAATACCCACTATACATTATAAGAGAAGGATATGCCACTCCAGTCTGTTTACGTTGTACCCCCACTGGTGTTAAATGCATTTATTTTGTTTTAACTTTATATGTCGATTCACACTGTCTCTACATATACAATGTATTTCCAGGGGCGGATCCAGGAATTGAAGTTAGGGGGCGCCAGACTCAGGCAGGGGGTCTGGGGGCCGCCTTGAGGCCCCCAGTGGGTCCAGGGCAAAGCCCTGGTGGGGGCCCAGGGGGCGAAGGCCCCGGAAGCTCTTGGATTCTAGAGGTTTTGTAGGGTAAAAATGAGGTCTACCGAGTAGACATTTAAAACATTTTCTCGACAAACTATGTTTTATGCTAACTTGGACAATTTTAAGGGAGCGCGCGCCGGGTGCGCCCCCCCCCCTTAAATCTGCCACTGATTTCTGTCTTAGTCCATGCTATCGGACTGACTCTGCATCACGTAATAATCCCACATTTTTTCCGTAAACAGCTTTCTTTCTTGTAAAGTGGGGTAATAAATAGTGTTTTTTTGTTTTGTTTTGTTTTTTTTGGTTGAGCGATTATTCTGGGGGATTTACGCCAGCGATTTTTTCGTATTGTAAGGCTACACATAACAGAGAAATAAGCCCCGGGGTTCAATATCAAGGGGGGGGGGTCTTGTCCACACGTACCTGTGTTTTTCTAAAAATTAAGACAAGAAACATGTATTGACGTAAGCGTCAAAAATCGGCCGCAAACCAATTAATGTTCCTTTTATGAAGCAACTAAAGAATATGGTGGTCTGTTTTTAAAATATCTTATATTTATCTTTTAATATATATCCTCGTGATATTAAAAGCTTGTGCTCTACATTGCATGATTTTCTTAATTATATAATGCATGTTCAGTATTAACCCCTGGTACTCTGCGTCAACAACTTTTGAACCGTGGGCCTGTATGGCATTTACATTAAAAGTTTAAAACTAAAATTACATGTAATCTACAACTAGATATGCAGTGTAGTTTAATTTAATAAAAATGCAGCAAATATGTTGGTATCCTTGCTCTCTCTTAGAGGAAAAAACTAAACTCCCTCTAGATCCGCCACTTCATTTCTTCTCTTTGAGTTGTAGCGGGAAAATTCTTGGCACATTGTAAAACGTGCATTATCCTCGTCTGCTAAGGGCCAAATCTTGTAATATTTTGTAGCCTGCTAAGTCTTTTAATGAATTTACATTTAACCATATTTTTCAAAATGTTTATATGTGTACATATGTACACGTCATTTTAAAATAAATACGTACAACAAATCCCGTTTGAATAGAGAAAGTAAAATTGTGTAATATACATAACGCGGTCTTTGATTTAGACTACGCCCAACACATGTCTTAATTTTCTCCGCACTTCAAACATATCTAAATTTCTAAGTCAGTATTGGATGAATTATTTACCTCATTCTTCATAAGAATTTTTAATTTTATGTTTATTGTGCGTTTTTCTTTAACCTTAAGACCGTCTTTTTAATATACTATTATATTAATGTTAAATATTTATTATTTAAATTGTTTTAACTCCGCAGAAACGCACAGCGACTTCGAACATTCATATCATATAACCGACCATCTCCTGGCGGCCGGTAATTTGTCATCAATACAAAAATATAATTATATACTCCTGATATATGTAATCTATTTAATATTTAAGAATCTATTATATAAATTAAAATATTCATTGCGGATCAAGAATCCATTAATTATTTAAATTTCCCTCTAATATATATAACACGTTTTCTTGCATTGTAATTTAATCAAGTGACCCATTTGATATAATTATATTGAATTATTTCTTGATAGTAAAAACATAATAAAGGGAAATAATCAAATGTTGAACCCGCTTTTGATTGGTTCGTTTGGATCTTGAATCTCGAAACTCGAATTTTGAATCTCGAATTTCGAATTTTGAATCTCGAATTTCGAATCTCGTATTTGGAAACTCGAATCTCGAATGAGCCTTCTGGGCTTTCGTAGGTATGGCATCTTGTAGAAAAAATATACAAACAGCTGTATTTATGATTAGAGCAAGTAGATAACATTCATACAATAATAAAATCCTTAAACTTTGTGATCTAGTACATATTATGATATGTATTAGATTAAATTTAGAGAAGACAAAACATGATATGAAATGGATGTACATACTCGGAACACATGGAATTTAAGAGTAAACAAAAATGCTTATAAAGGTTAGCATCTACAGCATTTAACATGCAAGTTATTGGGATGATGAGCAAGTGATTTAACATAAAGTAAAATATATTAACAACTTACACTGTAGATAGCAGGTTTTTAAAGTGGACAGCAAATGCAAAGTTCCAGTAAATGGTGGCAATCTCATACACAATAAGTTGTACAACAAATGATTAGTTCGTACCTCATACTAGGTAGCCAAATATCTGGTCAAGTTACTTTCAGAAGGAAGGCTCAGCAAGTTCAATGTTGATCATTCTCATAGCTACTTCAAACTTTTCTGGCACAATTTCTGAAAGAAAAGATGTATCTTGCAGGGTTTTTTGTTCAAACTAGGAATAATTATCATGAATGTAAAAATTTGAAAAGTTTATAGATGACAGACGGATACCAGACACAGATCAGAAAACTCGCTCGGGTCTTAAAAATGGCTCAGGTGAGCTAAAAAAAAAATCAATTCATGTGATTTTATTGATCTTATCAGAAAATTTAAGAAATCTTACCTTTGTGTTAATCTTCATGCTGCTTTTGTCATTTCTTGTGAGCATTTGGATTCCTGTAAATAATGCATGCATAATTGTGCATCATAGAATATGATAGCTATTTTGAATAATTCATGCTTAAGTATTTAACGTAAAAAAATTATGCATAGCTCAGAATCCATTGCTATTGTATTTTTAGGATAAGGAAAATAAGAATATAAACCTCATCTTGTTTACGTGGTATATAGCATTTCAAGTTGTTGCAATATTTTTCATAGTCTTCGCTATGCTAAAATGTACAAGTTAATAAAAACATTGTTAGTTTATTTGTATTAATTGAAAATTTTAGCTGCATGGTTCTCACCATTTTCACAAGCTGTCTACATAGCCGGCGCTGTGGGGAATCGTCTCAGGCACAGTCCACACTGCAACTATTTAAATAATCAAAATGAGTGCTGAATATATTCTTGAGTATGCATTAAGAAATAAATAAATATTTTATTACATTGTACAACACACTCTGTAAATGCTGAACAGAGGAACACTTTAGTGACTAAAATTCTGAAACCAATCCCAAACGAGAAAATTCTGGTTAAAATCCATCTTTAAGAGAGATGATTAAAAGTGTTAAATAATTATTACAAAATTTAAATAGCGCTTGCCCAAACGTTTTTACTGCCAGGCATTTTATGTGTAGAGCCCAGACTAAGGAACAGTAACATTATCAGTAGCAGAGGCGATTATTCATTCAAGGACACGTGATAAAATTTTGTACATTGTTCCTACCGCTAAACAGGGTCGTACATGTAAATGTCTTCATGTTCTGTTAAAACATAAATTCCATCCAAAGTTAATCATGCTTCTCCTTTTCGCGTCACTCTCTTTCGCCCCTTCCTCCCGTACAACATCATGATCAAGTTCAACATGGCTACGTGGAACCCTCCAAAAAATTGAATTTCGGCGCGGTGTGTTGTTTTTAAATTAATTGCTTTTCGAGCCCGACTTCGATCCCGATGTAATATTGTACTACAGTAGTAGTCGATAGAGAAAAAACTAAGTTATATTCCACAGTTTTGAAAAATCTACATAATAAATAGGGTGCCTCAATATTTTTTTTCAAAAATGTTTCAACGTAAGTTTACATTAGGTATAAAGAATTATTTATGACATATTCAAAATACCAAAAATGTACTTAAACTTTAAGTATAAGCATATTTACTTTTACATGTCGATATTCTAAAACGAAACGTATAATTTTCTCAATTAAACTATATTATTCTCGACGTATTTTGCATTAAATATGATTATACTTATTTGAAAACTGTACTTAATTATATCACAATATATCTCATGTAAAATGTACCGTTATACATAAATTAAATTCAATACAAGAAATTTACTGGAGTAAACGAATTTATTAAATTATATTAAACGCGACTTTTCATGCAGTGTCGTGTACAGTATAGAAACATTTGAACACAGATCTGACCATTTGGCGAACAGACCGCTAAAATTCCTTATATCACTAAAGAAGACTCGTTAACACAAGTTAAAGTACACTCCTAGTCTCACACAATACGCCCTGGTCTGCCTTTCTGAAGACATCAAAATGGAGGATGTGATTGACTTATTGGGAGAAATCCAAATCAAAGAGACAGGAAAAAGACAAGTAAGAAATGAATGTCTGCTGAAACTGATGTCTACACCTGTATTACACAGGTCTATCACAGTGCCAGGTGAAATATGTCATATTTCCGATTTGTCACCAGACCAGGTCTGGATCAGTGATGGTAAAAAAAATACTTCATCTGACGGATGTAATTAGGGAGTGGGGACAACACACAGTGAATCTTACTGGTGATCTTATTTACATAGACAGGAATGGTAACATTATCAAATCAAAAGATAATAGAACAAAGTCTACACTGATAACGAAAACAGATTCATCAGAACCATGGGCACCACAGTGTATCTACTCCTCCCACCTCAACGGCGATTTGCTGGTCGGTATGCAGTCCTACAATTCAGGCATTATACCACGCTATAATGACTTTGGACGACTCAAACAGACAATACGGCATGGAAACAAAGGCCAGAAACTGTATAGTTATCCTCACTACATCACAGAGAACCACAATCGAGGTGTTATTGTGTCTGACTGGGGTTTTCGTGCTGTAGTGGGGACAGATCGGGGACGAAGACACCGCTTCTCCTACACAGGTCATCGATCAGGATCAGGACTAAAACCATTAGGAATCTGTACTGACGCGCTGTCACACATCCTGGTGTGTGATTTTATAACCGACACAATACATATGCTTGACAGGGACGGTCACTTCCTCTCATTTATACTGACACGACATCAAGGGATAAATGGACCACTGGGCCCAAGTTATGACGACAAAACTCATCTTATATGGGTTGGATTATGCTACGGGAAAAAGAGAGTGCTTACATACATCTATACTGGAACAGCAAAGCAGGCTAAACATTACACAGTATACATTGTAATATCATATTTCCCAAATCGACAGTCTATTATTGGAAAGTGCTGCCAGAATAGTGTAGCCAGCTTTAGTTTGCGAAACTTTTGATTATAGGAACAAACAGTAATGAAAAAAAAACTTTTTTCTCTGATAGGACAGTGATAGAATTTGGATGGCCAAATTATTTTTATACATTATAAACTTTATCTACACAAATGATTAGATCCCTGATTAATGTTTAAATAACTTTTCTCATGAAATATTATGAGATAAGGAACACTTTTTAAGCTCAAAAGTCCACTAAAAATACAAAAGAGGAACAGAGCAAACAGGAACCTCCAAAGCATCAGAGGTGGGACTAAATGCCATGGAGGAGTGCGAGTCCCCCGCCGACAGACAAACCCGCCGTTGTCATATTTGCAAAATAACGGAGAAATCGGTGAAAAATTCAGTCTGTAAATAATGTTCTTACAATCAGTATGAAAAACATCAGTCAGCCTTTTATAAAATTATCAACTGCATTTGCTGATAAGGTCATTGCTTATCATCAACAAAGTTTACGAAATGATGACTCCAAATAATACTGCTGATATTTTTGTTCATCAAATTGTTTGAAAAAAATTATCCCGTCATTCAAAAACTACGTAGACATTGTTCTTTATCGTCATATTATTATGACAGGATTATAGATCAACACTTTTTGTAAATAAAAACATTTATTTTATCGAAGTATTGTTTCATTCCATTTGATTAATTAGAACTCATGTTTGCCACTTAGCACTGTTAATCAGCATTAAAACGTCGAAAATAACGTTTGTTATTTTCTCAAAATAATATAAAATTAGAGATGCTATTTAATTTGATATACGGTTTGTAACGTCCTCTCCATTCATAAAAAACATTTCTATAACACTTGACATGTACATGTAGATTGCTAACAATTGTGCAAATAGCTTGAACTAGCTTGTTAATGTTTTGAAATTTGTTACCGCGTTAGAGCATTACCTTTGCAACAGTGAAGCGCACATCACGTTTACTGACATTCTAATTCTTCTGACGAGATTTTTAAACTATAACCTGTTTCTTTGCAGACCATTATTCATCGTCCGATTTTTAACCCGTTACCACTCAAAAATTGTATTTTTATTTTAGTTTTAATTTAATATAATTTTTAAGTTTGTTAAAGAAGTTTTCCGAATTCAAAGCAAAAATTTATTGCTACTTGCTGCTCCGTGACGTCCTCCAACGTCATGTTTTTTTTTTGCCTATTTTAATCAAGTTCAAATGTATTTAGTTTTGCCTATTTTAATCAAGTTCAAATGTATTTAGAAAAGGATGTATTTTAAACAGGGCGATATTATACAATTATTGCTGCTTTTTGATGTCTGTCACAATCAAAGTTGATTTTGTTATATGTTTATTTGTTTTTCGTTTATTAGTATTGCACTGTGTTGACCCTTGTTTGTATTTAGTATTTATCCTGCAAGGAGCCCCATTGTGACGCTCAGGTGATTTAAATATTTGGCCAGTCGCTATATAAGGTGATGTCAGGTTGTCTTGGGTAGCGCATGTTTTCCTTGACCAGTGAAAGAAATTTCACATGTCCATGGAGGGTTAGGTAGTTTTATTCGTGGTAACCGAATCTCCAATCAGGGTAAGTGTAATTTACTTACATTTATTATATTAAAAAGTAATGCAGTATTATGTTAAATGAGCTTATTCTATTTTTATCCACGAGAAAGTGTTTGAATTCTATACGGGAATTTTACCACGTGCACATGCCGTGAGTTTAAGCGTAAAGTAATGATATTAGTTTATTACTAAGAGTGTAACGTTATATTGTACATTATTTTGCTTTGCCGTACGAAACGGTGTGATACATATTAGTTAAAACTGTATGTTTGAACAATTATATGTGTAAACATTTATGATGTGTTGAAAGGCAGCCCGTTAGGGGTCAAGCTGCTGTTATTATGTCTACGCATATTTGTTGAAGGTTCCTGTACATATATATGCATGCGTGTGGTTACACGATGGTTTGGTGCTGTCGACGGTGGCTACCTGGGCGACTACACGAGGGCGTGGTACGCTAGGCCGAGACCGTGTGTGGGGAAACGTGGTTTCCTGGTTTTGTCAGCACTGTGGATGCTTAAGACGCTTTGGATTGGCGTAGGTGGGACGTCGAGGACGTTGTGGCATTTTGTGCAAGGGCGTGGTACCCGTATGACATGGGCAAGGATTGGACGTGGACGGCTTAGGAACGTGGTCCAAGATGAACACGAATAGACATTTTGGAATTGTTCTTTAATTTTCATTTTGTATATTTGTACATATTTGTTTTTATATAAAATTGTAAATACAACAACAATCTTGTTATCATTGATCAAGCTTAGGGTGTCGTGACAAATGGTGCCAGAAGTGGGATGATGAGGTTAGCTTTGATCAGTGATTGTTTTTTTTTAAAGAATGTTTTTTGTGTAAATTGGAACGTTAGAAAAAATATTGTAGTACTTTCATGTATTGAAGTTATGATATTTCTTTTATTGTATTGTTGTAGAGAGACGTTCAGATAGACGTTAGGGGACCCTAAGGGGAGGAGAGGACGTTACCATGAATTAGTTTGTATTATGAAGGTTTGATTTCGATTTAGTTCGGTTTTCCTGGAGTGATATTTTGCTTTGTTATTTTTGTGTCAGTTTATGTTGTTTGATAGTTGGTTTATTTACTGGCGATTTTTGAGATGGATTTGTTAAAAGAGCTGACTGCATATGGTCAAAGTTTGGAGTTGACGGGAGCGGATCTTCAGAGGTTCATCCGTGAACAGCAGGCACATCTGCGAGAACTCAGAGTTGAGCAAAGAGAGAGACAAAAGGAGGACAGAGACTATGAATTGAAGAGAGAAAAGTTGGAAGTAGAGAAGCGTCGACTAGAAGAAAAGAAATCACTAGATGCGCTGGAAAGTAAATACCAAGCTATTGTTCAAGAACTTAAATACCAGTTGAGTTTGAAAGAGACAGAATCTAAAGTAGCTAAGTCAGACATATTTGATGGTTCATTAGCAAAGGTTCCTAAAATGCCATACCTTTTCTTAGACGATTCGAAAGATACGCTATAGCACAGAAGTGGAACGAAGGAAAGTTGGCCGTGAACTTAAGCGCATTACTTAAAGGACGAGCTCTTGATGTCTATGCCTTGCTTCCACAAGAAAAGGCTCTGGATTATGCAGCCCTGAAAACAGCTTTACTAAAGAGGTTTGAGAAAACAGAGGATAGTTTTCGAGAATATTTCCGTAGGTGTAGACCAGAGGTAGGTGAAACCTTTACACAATTCGCAGTTCGTTTAGGAAGTTATCTAGACAGATGGATTGAATTTGGAAAAGTTAACAAAACTTACAACGGACTATATGACTTAGTGTTGCGAGATCAGTTCATATCAATTTGTAATAGAGACTTATCGTTGTTCCTAAAAGAGCGTATTCCAAAAAGTATTGAAGAGATGTGTATGTTAGCGGATCAGTTCAAAGAGGCACGTCATGTAAACATATTAACTTTAGTTTCTTCTAGCAAAAAGGAAACGACATTTGAAAACAGAAATCCAGTTGCAGCCAGAGATCAACGCAGCCAGAAGGAGCAAGTGCCACCGAAGACTAATGGTCAGTCCTTTTCACGACAGAAGAAGACAGGGAAGGATATTCGATGCTACAAATGTTCCAGGCTAGGACATATAGCCTCGCAGTGTAAACAGTCATCAAGTAAGAATCAAAGCTTTGCGGTGAAAGCGGATACTTCAAGTGAGTCAGGAAGCAGTTTGAAGGAACACAGAGATTCAGGCAAGTGCTCTGCTTTTACATCTATAACATCTACTTCAACATTTTCAATTGCATATTCTACAACAGCTTGCAGTGTAGCTAATTTCTCAGATCAGATGCCTGTTTGTGTTGGTGAAATTAATGATCAGTCTGTTCAAGTACTTAGAGACACGGGATGCAATGGTGTTATATTGCGTAGGAGTCTTGTCCATGATGATCAACTTACTGGAGACCATCAAGTGTGTGTTTTGGCGGACGGATACAAAATTGAAACCCCTATCGCAAAGGTGAATGTTGACACTCCGTATTTTGTTGGAGAAGTGAATGCGTGGTGCCTAAAAGCTCCATTATACCCTTTGATTATCGGAAACATTCCGCATGCTAGAGATCCTCACGATCCGAACAAGGACTGGAAGCCTAGTGTTGTGAATGCTGTAGTGACTAGACAACAGAAACGCATGGAAGGTAAGAAGATAAAACTTCTTTCTGTTCCAGAAATAATAGGATCTGAAGTTTGTCCAGAGGATATGCTGAAAGCACACGAAGAAGACGAGACGCTGAAGAATCTCAGAGCTTTGGTTGGAAAGGAAACCAACGACAACAGAGTAAAGTACACTTTGAAGAAAGGTATGCTGTTTCGAGTTTTTCAGTCAGAGAAAGTCGAGAATGGTAAGCAGTTTACTCAACTAGTTGTTCCTAAGAAGTACAGAATGAAAGTTTTATCACTTGCACATGAGTCTTTAATGGCAGGTCATTTAGCTACATCCAGGACAATTGATAAAGTGCTAGCTGAGTTTTATTGGCCAGGAGTCCAGGCTGACGCAAGACGGTTTTGTCGATCATGCGACATATGTCAGAGGACTACTCCTAAAGGTAGGACAACTAAAGTTCCAATGAGTGTTATGCCGATCATAGATGAGCCATTCAGACGCGTAGCAGTTGATCTGGTGGGACCAATACAGCCAATGACTGATAACGGTAATCGTTATATTTTAACTTTAGTAAACTTTTGAACACGCTATCCAGAAGCGGTTGCACTCAAAGGTATAGAAACTGAAAGATTAGCTGAGGCTTTAGTAGATATATTTTGCAGAATCGGAGTTCCGAAAGAGATGCTGACAGACATGGGGACACAGTTTACTTCAGAATTGATGGGTGAAGTAAGTCGTTTACTTTCGATGAAACAGTTATCCACGACACCCTATCACCCGATGTGTAACGGCTTGGTGGAGAGATTTAATGGTACCCTGAAGCAGATTCTTCGACGACTGTGTTCAGAGCGGCCAAAAGACTGGGACAAATACCTGTCAGCAGCACTTTTTGCGTATCGAGATGCCCCACAGGAGAGCTTGGGATTTTCCTCATTCGAATTGATATACGGACACAGAGTCAGGGGTCCGATGAGAATCCTACGAGAGCTTTGGACAAAAGAACAGACGGATTCTGAGGTGAGAAGTACTTATCAATATGTTGCCGATCTTAGAGAACGCCTAGAGTCTACTTGTCAGTTAGCCAGAGAGAATATAGAGAAGTCATCCGAACGTTACCGAGCACACTACAACAAGAAGGCTAAAAACAAAGACATGTCAGTAGGTGAGAAGGTGCTTGTACTTTTACCAACAGATAGCAACAAATTGTTAATGCAATGGAAAGGTCCTTTTAAGATAGTGAAGAAATTGGGGAAAGTTGATTATAGAATAGACATGAACGGCAAAATTAAGACATTCCATGCAAATATGCTCAAATTATATTTTGAGAGGAAAGAATGTTGTGCTGATGCTGGTATCTTAGGTGTCGCTAGTGCAGCTATGGTGGATGTTGAAGAAGACGATTCAGTTGACGACACTGATCTGATAGATTCAACACTACCTACTTCGAAGGAGAAACCCAGTGATGTCAAAGTAAGTGATGAACTGACAATAAGTGAACATGAACAAGTGAAATCGTTAATTGAAGAGTATAATGATGTGTTATCAGATATTCCAGGATGTACGACATTGGATGAGCACCATATAAAGTTGACGAGTGACAAGCCTGTGCGATCCAAACCATACCCTTTACCTTTTACAACTCGTGATGAAGTGTGCGAGGAAGTAAGAAACATGCTAAAGTCGGGAGTGATTGAAAGTTCGAACAGTCCATATTGTTCACCCATTGTGATTGTGAAAAAGAAAGACGGTGCAAATAGATTTTGTATTGACTTTAGAGCAGGCTTGGGGCGAATTACATTGTAAAGTAATTCATTACATTACCATTACTTCAACAGTTTGGGCATTGAATTACCATTACCATTACTCTATTTTCTTAAAGTAATGCATTACATTACCATTACTTTAGTAAAGTAATACATTACCATTACCATTACTTTTGGAGATTTTAAAAATTGAAATTTATTCAAAACTTTGCAATTTTTTTTCATAAGCATGTATCCACCCCCTTCAAAACTAAACATGATAAATGTTAATACAAATTTGATTTCAAGTTTTTGTACATATTGCACTGTCAATAACTTACATTGACAGAAAATTTCAAAATATTACATTGTCAGTTATATAACACATGTACAATATCCACTTTTTGTGTAACTATTAATGTCATGAAGCAATTTAACTTTTGGGACACTTTAACTCCTGCCTTAATATCTAATAATAAAACATATTGGCTATTTTTACCATAGTACCTTATGAACTAAAAATAAATGCATTGATGTCCATTTTCTGTGTGATTGATCTTTGCTGGCATTTAGGGTTATTCTGACCCATAACAGAATTGGGGGCTCGTCCGGGATAAAGAATTTCTTGCACTTTTGCAGTTTATTGTCAGAATTTTGTTTATTGAACCTTTAAATTTGATTATAAGCCAGCAGAAATCAACATGGTGTTTTCGGTCACAGACTTTCTTAGTTCACCAAGTGTTCAGGTTTTTGATACGTTAAAAAAGGATGACTTGATCGCATTAGGTTTGCATTTTGGGTTAGATGTTAAATCCTCTCAGAGAAAGCAAGACATTAGAATTAAGGTTGCAAACAAACTAGTAGAAGAAAACATTTTTGAAAAATACGATCTTTCAGAATATACAGTAAGATCAGAGTTAGGCTCTTATAAAATGGCAGACTATCAGTTTCAACTAGAGTTAGAGAAAATGCGATTTGAAAGAGAAAAATTAGAAAGAGCAGAGCGAGAAAGAGACCGAGAAAGAAAATTTGAATTAGACAAATTAGAAAGACAAGAGCACTTTGAGTTAGAGAAATTAAGATTACAGCACCAACCAGAACCGTCATTTGTCAAGAATGAATTTGACGCAGCAAAAAATATTAGATTAGTTCCAAAATTTCAAGAAAAATCTGTAGACAAGTATTTTCCCCAATTCGAAAAAGTCGCAGAAAATCTTAAATGGCCACAAAATGTTTGGTCAACAATGTTACAAAGTGTACTGGATGGCAAAGCAGCAGAGGTATACTCTGCACTAGGGGTAGCTGAAAGTTCAGACTATGAGAAGGTCAAAGCAGCAATATTAAAAGCATATGAATTAGTACCTGAAGCATATAGACAAAAATTCAGAAAGTATAGGAAGTTTGATAACCAAACATTTGTTGAATTTTCACGAGAGAAAGAAGATTTATTCGATCATTGGTTTAGATCTAAGAAACTTGATAAAACTTTTGCTAATTTGCGCCAAGTCATCCTGGTAGAAGAGTTTAAGGAATGTGTTACTCAAGATTTGAAAACACATCTAGAAGATAAGAATGTTAAAACTCTTGAAGAGGCAGCAGTCATATCTGATACTTATGCTCTGTCTCATAAAAAGAATTTTGTATCAAGATCTCAGACTAGCAGTAATTCTACAAATTCAGACACATATAAAAAGAGTGGTTCAGGGTCTCAGTCTTTCACAAGTTCCCAGTCTCCATCCCAAGATGGTTCTAAGTCCGGTCCAGGACGTTTTGAAGGATCTTCTGGAATAGGGTCGCTTCCTACTTGTAGTTATTGAAAGAAAAAGGTCATCTGATCAGTGAATGCTTTAAACTTAAGAGAAAAAATGACTTTGATAAAACTCAACCACATGCTTGTGCGGCAGTTAGAGGAGATAGAGAAGCCTTAGTTTCGATTTGTTCTGACACTCCTGATGTCCAGGGTTCACAGTCCAGTTCTATTGATTCTATGGAGGATTATAAGCCCTTTATGTCTCAGGGATTTGTTTCACTCGGTGACTCTAGCGAAATAAAACCTGTCCAGATTTTGAGAGATACTGGTGCTGCACAGACGTTATTGTTAGAGGGCGTGCTTCCTTTGTCTGAGCAGACTTCTACTGGTGGGTCAGTTTTATTACAGGGTGTGGAGCTAGGCGTCATTGATGTTCCCCTGCATAGAATTAGTTTGAAGTCAGATTTAGTTACTGGACCTGTTATCGTAGGTGTTCGACCTACTCTTCCTCTTCCAGGCATTTCTTTGTTGCTAGGCAACGATTTAGCTGGTGGAAAAGTTGTACCAGATCCTATAGTTTGTGAGAAAATCACTCCAGATGTCATGTGCGATGATGAAGATGATGACATTTATCCAGCCTGTGCTGTTACTAGAGCGATGGCCAGAAGACGAGAAATGGAGGCAGACCATACTCAAGCCTTTGACGAGACGAATTCCTCTGTTGATATTGATTTGAATGACACTTTCTTATCTGACCTTGATGGCACTCAAACAAGCATGGAACCACACAATATCAAGAAGCAAGAGAAGAAAGAACTGTTACCAAAATTTGGTGGTGAGGATGATGAGTTGCATCCAATAGTTAGCCAAGGCAAGGACATCCTCAGCCGAGAACGTTTACTCTCTGAACAACATAAAGACCCAGATATCATTCAACTTAGTAAGAGGGCACTTCCACCAGAAGAGGCTACTAAAGTTGGAGAATGCTTCTATATGAAAGATGGCATCCTTATGCGAAAATGGCGACCACCTGACGCTTCCCCAGATGAAGTGTGGCGTGTTGTTCACCAGATAGTGGTCCCAGCTGCTTATCGTCGAGATGTCATGAGTTTAGCTCACGATACACCTATGGCTGGTCATTTAGGTATCAATAAGACTTATAATAGGATTTTGAGTCATTTTTATTGGCCTAAGCTAAGGAAGGATGTTTCTGAGTTTTGTAAGTCATGTCATGTCTGTCAGATGGTAGGTAAACCGAATCAGAAGATACCATCCGCCCCTCTCCAACCAATTCCAGCTTTTGAAGAACCGTTTAGTCGAGTGTTGGTGGATTGTTTAGGACCTTTGCCTAGGACCAGATCTGGAAACCAGTATTTACTTACCATTATGTGTACATCCACTCGGTTTCCTGAAGCCATACCTCTTAGGAATATAAAGGCAAAGAGCATAGTTAAGGCCCTAACCAAGTTTTTCAGTTTTGTAGGAGCACCCAAGGCAATTCAGTCGGATCAAGGCTCAAATTTTATGTCGGGGTTGTTCCAGCAAGTCATGCATGAGTTGGGTATTAGGCAGTATCGATCAACTGCTTATCATCCTGAGTCCCAGGGAGCGCTAGAACGTTTTCATCAAACCCTAAAAACAATGCTGAAGACCTATTGTTACCAGTATGAGAAAGACTGGGATGAAGGGGTTCATCTTGTACTATTTGCTGCACGAGAAGCAGTCCAGGAGTCTCTTGGGTTCAGTCCTTTTGAATTGGTTTTCGGTCATACAGTTAGAGGTCCTTTGAAATTGTTGAAGGAAAAGTGGCTGACTGAGACTAGTGATCTTAATCTTTTAGATTATATGTCTGATTTCAAAGAAAAACTTTACAATGCTTGTAAATTAGCACAAGAAAATTTGAAGAGTTCTCAGATGAAAATGAAAATGTGGTATGACAAAGATGCCAGAAATAGGGTGTTTAAGCCAGGTGATAAGGTTCTTGTATTTTTACCTATTCCTGGTCATCCTTTACAGGCCAAATTTTATGGCCCTTATGAAATTGAAAGCAAAATCAGTGATGTAAACTATGTGGTTAAGACACCAGGTCGACGTAAAGAGAAACGGGTTTGTCACATTAACATGTTAAAAGAGTATTTTGAAAGGTGTGACCGAAATTCTGTAAAACCAGTTTCCACTTTAGCCAACGCTAAGACTGTTCAAAATTGTATTGAGAGTGATACGAGTGTAGAGATGAATGAGAAAGATTGTAATCAGAGTGTCCGCTTGAAAAACTCAGAAATTTTGGCTGATTTTGATGCCAAACTTGGACATTTGAACATTCACCAAAAAGAACAAGTTAAAAACTTGATGAATGAGTACCATCAAATCTTCTCGGATGTTCCAAAGAAAACTAATGCAGCTTGTCATGATGTCATAGTTGGCGACGCTCTGCCTATCAAACAACATCCGTACCGTCTCAATCCAATAAAATTGCAGTACCTAAGAAGGGAAGTGCAGTACATGTTGAACAATGACATTGTTGAACCTAGTAAAAGTGATTGGAGCTCACCGTGTATTCTTGTACCAAAACAGGACGGTTCGTACCGATTATGTACAGACTTTAGAAAGGTGAATTCTGTTACCAAAACTGATTCATATCCAATACCTAGAATTGATGACTGTATTGACAGCATTGGAAACGCCAAATTTGTCAGTAAATTTGACCTGTTGAAAGGCTACTGGCAAGTGCCGTTAACAGAAAGAGCAAAAGAAATATCTGCTTTTGCTACACCAGATGGACTTTATCAGTATAAAGTAATGCCTT